TGATACTTCGTAGACATACTACGGGGGTAGTTCCGAAGGCTCGACTCGTTTCCTGATCTGCACCAGCCACATACCACATAACAAGAATAGGTGCATTGGGCCTGCATCTCAGGTCGATGTAATGGTTATAATATCTGATGCATAGCCTATTCCTTCTAGGTCTGAGAATTGAATGAGCCAGCAAAAAGACGGAAAACGGAATTCAGCAATGTCTTCCATCATTGAGGTTCATGAGCTTCCCCCAAGCGAAGAAGAGGTCTACCCCACGTAGCTGGGTACCCGCACGAATCTGTTACTTTCGCAAGCGAAGGCAGCCGCATTGACCTCGCTTCTAGGCCCACGAGAAATAGCTTGGGCACATTGTCTGTGTTCAGTGCTGACAGCAAATTGATGGTAGCGACAAGCAGACGATGCAACAGGCTTTGAAGATACGAAATGTCATATCAACACGAAACTTTGACGTGATATTGCAATGAAATAAAGAGTGCAAACCTGGGCACTCTAGCGACAGTATTGAATGAAGACAGATAAATCAGTACAGATCTTCTTAATCAGGAATTGGATTTTCCTTGCTAAACAGGGGCCATTTCCGCTGTCTGACCGCCGTCCTACCCAATCCATCGTAAAACACATGATGTATTATATTGTATACTGCATTTACTTCATGATGTTTCCCCCTTCACCCTGCATCAGGATCTAGAAGCCCGTACTCGGTCACTTGAGGAAATTAGCCCGCCCAAGGGTATAAAACTCAAAGTGAAGTTAACGAAGAAATCTCCTTCCCTCAGACTTAGCGACTAACGAAGACCAACAAAACTCTTTTTTTCTTCTGCGAAGCACGACCTCATCTCGATAAAATTCGGGAGGAAGAAAATAGCAGCTAATGTACAATCGGCCAATACATGGGAGTGTGCAAATATAGATAGCTCACATTGTCTTGCATGCATGCGTTGGCATACTGCTTGGTTGATTGGCTCTCTGTCCATCATATCAAAACTCCATTGGCGGACCGTAGCATATTTCTATCCCCCATCGGGTCAGATACATATCGAGCTAAATATTTCATGAAATTTACTCAATACAGTATTCTAACACAAGGGGCGTGCATTAAAACTGCTCACCGACACTTCACCTTTTCCTCTTCTCATTATTCAATTCTGACAATCTATAGCGAATCCTACCCGCCCCTCACCTCATTTCACGCCAACAAGGCATTCAAAAAGTTCATCCTATCTGTAAGAATGCAAATAGATCCTTCGCAAAATTTGCTTCCCTTTCAAAACTTTTATCAAGCAGTCCAAAATCTGCGCAGGCTGACCGATCAGCCTTCTCATGAAGAGTCATATCGGATCAATTCACCTTCGCAGTCAACGAAATACATCTTGAAAGCTGAAGATGAGATGCAAATTGCTGATAATGTGGCTTTTCTGGCCCATTCGCAAGAAGGTGTTGAGAATGTTACAGCTGTGACTATTCGGGAAATTGCGCACGGGCTTGTCATCTGTCTTGCCAGCAATCACACGCCAGCAAGTACGACTATCAGTGAATTGAGTGAATTAATGGCCTTGGTGAGCGAATACGCTTCCACCGGTAATTTTGTGCATATTTAGGATTCTTCATGGGACTAATTGTGATAGGCAGGAAGAGGGACGAATTCCTCGACAAGATTTTCGATAAAGTCGTTGATTTTCGCTTCGATCGAATACTTGGTCGAATTCGTCCACCATGGCTACCTCAACCCACTCATTATTCAAAACCGAGGCCGTTCCTATTCTCACAAGTCCAGGATTTTGTGGCTGAAATGTCTGTGCTCAGTCAGCGCAATCAAGCTTTTCAGAGCTTGTTGCTATCGGCGCAACGACTCGTAACAAGTCTTTCACCATTCAAGAAGTCTCTCCCTCGTGATTTGATGAGAACGCACCAGAAAAATGTCATACAATGCTGTGCAGAGTTAGCGAGCGTCGACGGGGTGGGGCTGCTTGAGGAGCATCTCAGACATTTACAGGCTCCCCCTCTAATTCTGGGCAGAAACGTAGTACGTCAAATTGACAAGCTTGCGCGTTATTATTTTGCATGTCGAGATTTTATCAAAACTGCCAGGCGCCCAAACTACCGAAAGCTGTTCGACAACATCACAATTGAAACTTTGGAAGCTTTCGAGGGAAGGAGACCAAAGGGCTCTCTCGCGTTATGTTTTGTTCATGCGGAGATGCAACAGGTAGTTCATTACATCTATCATCCGCATGAGCCCAGTCCTCGTTTCATTGGGTGCAGTAAAGCAGCCTGCTACCTTTGTGACATGTTTATAAAGAAGCATGGCTCGTACCGCATATCACACGCCCACCGACGGCTTTACGAAAAATGGACTCTGCCTGACTTGGATTGTTCATCTTCCGCAGAAGCCCAACGGCTCCCAGCCGTGTTGAGATCCATGACGGAGGATATCGCAGTTGTAAGCCAACGTCTCCTGTCTCGTCGTTCTGTCCCGAAGAACTACGTAGCGGAGAGTAAAGCCTTTTTACCTTTAACCAGTGGCTCGACGCCAAGTATTACCTCAATATCCAACATGCAGTCCGATTTTTCGCTTTTAGCACCGGTCAATCTAGATTCGGATCACATTGTTCAACGTGCAAGCAAAACTGTTTCACAAGGTGACCACGGGGGTTCGGCTGACAATGAATTCGACATATTTCTCGAAAAGGACGACCTTCCATTTTCATATACTATCAGAAACATTGAACAAGAGGTCCTGGTCCATATCGATGCGATTTTCTTAGTTCTTGGCTTTGACACGACTGGCCGTTTCTTGATCAGCCAGACAACGAGTCTTCTCCAGCCCGAAAATACTATTGATATCTGCCGTCTACCTACTTCGAGTGAATCAAATATACTTCAAAGTCCAGATTCAACGAACTTACAATTATGTTTGCGCCACACTAATGGCTTTGCGATCACCATTGACTTTTTCAAAGATGTCAACTGACTTCTGTGTAAACAAGGATGCCCAAATACAAATTGAACTATTTTGAAAGCCTATAGAAGACATTTGCGTTCATGATGTATCTAAGGGGACTGCAGTATATATGATAGTATACACAATACACCATTGTCGATTCAGCCATCTATTCTCCTCATCGTTCTTGTGCCATTCGGCCCGTCTTCGTTATCTTCGTTACAAGCGCGATGACTTGGGCGATCATAACATCGAATTTCCATGCTCTACCATTCAGCTCATCCGCATCCACTACCATAGCAAGTTGACTTACTAGAATATGTGACAGGCTGCCGGGGCTCGAGCCAGTGACTCCAATGAGTGCGTGACGCTGTTCATTCACCGGGTATTGAAGCAAGAAATGTGGGACTACTTTGAGCTTGACGCCACATTCACGAACAATCCTGTCTGCCTTGCCGATTAGATGAAGACAATCATTCAGTCTGGTGTATTTCTTGCGCAGTTGAGCGAGCGTTGATGCTTTGGCTTGATCCAGATTACCACGCAGCACCTTCGTATGGGTCCCCAAGAGCCGACAGAGCCGACAAAGCCGACAAAGCCGCATCTAACTAGCGCCTGGCCCGACCAGTGGTCAATAATTGAATTATGCTCTTTCGATGCTAATGAGTAGTCTCTCCAGCTTGTCGCAACGCCATGCGCGGGGATGGACTCTTCCCCAAGACTGGGGAGTGACATAGCTGTTCATTTCTAGTGCCTTGCGTGCGAGGGTATGCGATCTTTTGGTAGTCGACCTGCGTCTTCATTTGGGATTCAGACTGACCACAGAGCCCATCTCTAACAGCTGAAGGATTGCTTGCGTGATCTTTACAATGAGAGCGTGGCTGGCCTGGAGATTGGATCGCGCGAGAGAAGGTAGAATGGTGGGATTTTTCACAACGATCGTAACGTATATCTTCTACGGCGATATCTGCATGCGAGAGATTGTCGTGCTGAAAAAGCATCGAACACTCACCTAAGCTGTACGTGGTGAGCAATGAGCGTATCATCACCGCCAGTAATCCAGCTAGACGAGGCAATGTTGACTGATCTCACGCGAAGAACCAGCCCTATTCCGACCATTTTTTGGCCAGACTCAAAAATGCACTCTCACAATACGGGCGAATCATGCAGTTCCCCCAGTGGAATTGGATTTGGGGGCACAACTAGAGGATCTGACACTTACCTTTGTAGAGTAGGATGACACTAAACAGCTCAAAAAATTCCTTTGACAAAGTAGAAAGAAATGACACCAAATTTTGGCATTTTACCTGCCCAGACAGGTACACGCTGAAGTATCTTCCCATCCCCGATTTGCCTTCATACGTGTGGAGGCGGTGTTCTCTGATGAATTCCATAAGCGTCAAAGGCCGCTGCGATACCGCAACCTCAGGGATACTACTACAAGGCAGGCCAGTGCTTAAACCCCGAAGCCTGCGGTAAGTCCAGGCATGAAGAGATTCCATGGCATCTTGTCTCTCGCTGTCCTCGGACTTGACCGAGATGAAATATGTGACTTACGCCTCATTGAGGGCAGTTCTTAACGATCGCTGCAGATCTGACAATGACATTCTTGTTAGGCACTTGGAGGAATGAGCCTCAATAGATTGCTATTCGATGGCGAGCAACATGATGAACGCCTTTTCCAAAATTCCAATAGAAGCCCTTGCATGATGAATTATTGCATTCCGGAGAAGACTACCGTAGTAAAGTTCCATGTATTAATACCATAGGGTCATACTGCGCTACCAATTGGTAGTGTCAATTGCATTTGTGCAAGTCCATACGCAATCTCATTCCAGCTGCCGAAATGTGATCGAGGAATGCCGAATGATATGATTGAAAATCTTGAAAATTTGTATAAAAAATGCACTTGAATGCGCTTGCCTCTTTATAAAGATATCTTGAAAAGCTTCCAACAGTTGACACGATTTATTTAGGGTTTTATACCGCCTGAATTCTTTGAATTTGCAGCTGATACTTTTGCTTATTCTTGAAATTGTCAAACAGAATGACCAGAAAACGTACAATTGATCTCACTGGTGCGGATGGCCTAGACAATGAGAAGCGAATACGGCTTTTAGGAATCATTGATCGACTTCGGGAGCTTGGCATCAGTGAGAATGTGTCTTTGCCACAGGCAAGTGAGCCTATCGTTTTAGAACATGTACTCTAACTAATGTATCATAGCTTGTTGTGGTTGGTGATCAATCGAGTGGCAAGTCATCCCTTTTACTGTAGAAGGTCTGACCGGTCTTTCGTTTCCTGTGGCCAGTGATCTTTGCACAAGATTTGCAACTCAAATCGTTCTGCGTAGAGCACCAGAAGGAGAGGGTCAGGCACGAATTACAATCATTCCAGGACCTTCTTCTCGACTCGATGAAACCTTAAACCAAAATCTTCTAGCCTTCGAAAAAATACTGGCCGCTGCAGATTTCGGATGCCAGGAATTCGAAGAGGTCTTTGACGAGGTCAGCATCATACTATCACCGCCTACTAAAATCGGAGCTAATTGAATGATAGGCTGCTAGATGTATGGGGATACCAGGTCCAAATACGAAGAACCTGGAAGATGTCGAGAAAAGATTCTCAGATGATATACTCAAGATCGAGCTCTCGGGTCCAGATCATCGGCATCTTAGTGTTGTGGACGTCCCTGGCCTCTTCCACAGTAAGAACACCCTACGGTATTCTGATAACTTGGCTAAATGCGATACAAGATCCCACAAAGTTTCAAACCGAAGAAGACCGTGCCATTATCAGAAAATTGATTGAGGATTATATGACTGATAAGCGCACCATTATTCTGTAAGTTGAAATATTGCAGATGGCGTTGAAAGAGCTGCAAGGCTTACAGATTACCAGCGCTGTTATGGATGCACGCAATAACCTTGCGAATCAGGAAGTGTAAGGGAGGGAAGATGTCCCAAGTTTAATGTCATGAAGGTGCTCACTTATACTAGGTTCTCCATGGCCCGGGCTGCTGATCCGGCGGGAAAAAGAACTGTTGGAATAGTCACAAAATGTGATGCTCTCCAGGCAGGAGATGAAGCTGGTGTAAGTTCCCCACCAAGCCGGGTCGAACACCCCACTGAACACTCATCAGATTTTACGTATCGCCAAAAATGAAGTAGAGCATCTCACACATGGATGGTTCGCTGTACGAAATCGTTCCACTCAGGAAATCAAAGAGGGTGTTTCTATCGAGGGCCGACATCAAAGGGAGAAAGCTTTCTTTTCGACGGTTCAGCCATGGACCGGGCTCAGGAAAGACCGAGTCGGTATCAAGGCATTGAAGTCCTTTCTAGGCCACCTTTTATACGATCACATCCGCTCTGAATTCCCCGCAGTTGTGGCTGATATCGAAAAGCTGTCTCTGGAGACTCAAAAGGAACTGGAGATTCTGGGACCTTCCCGTCAAACCCCTGCTGAGCAGAGGCGATTCTTGACACGACTCTCAACCACCTATCAGAATGAAGTTGATAAAGCATTGAATGGCAAATATAATGCTGAATTGGAGGCACAAAGCCCGCTTAAACTTCGGATGCACTTGCGGCAGCATGCAGATGATTTTGCTAGGTCAATGGCTAGAGAGGGCCATGCCAAAGTCTTTCGTACGATTCAAGATGAGAATGATCCTGAATTCAGCAGACCAGCAGGTGATTCTGAGAACATATATGACTGGATACGTCGCTACTATCTTGAATCTCGCGGTTCCGAACTACCTGGTACCGTGAATCCGATTGTGCTTCAGAACATGTTTCGCCGACAATCCAGCCCATGGGAGAAGATTGCGATGAAATATCTTAAGAAAATAGCTTCTGCGGTGGAGTCTTTCAACAAAGATGTATTCGCTAAAATCATCCCAGACGAGAATGTTCGAGAAAAAGTGGAAGCGTTTATATCTCGTCCGGGAGAGGAGACATACGACCAGGCCCACGAACAGCTGTTGACAATAGTGAATGACGAACGAGGAGGAATCCTGCAGACTGTGAATCACTACTTTGCCGACACTCTATCCTCAATTCGCCAGGAAAGAGTTATTGCTCGACTTGAGGGCCTCGGGCTTGAAGATGGCTACGCTTTCGACATGAAGACGGTATTGAAAGGGGTTCACCTGAGCAATGAAGATCAGTCAGTCTTCGACATACATGATATATTGAAAGCCTACTATAAGGTGGCTATGAAGCGCTTTATGGACAACGTCATCATTCAGGTTTCAGAAAGGTACATGTTAGGTGAAAGCGGCCCAGTGAGAACATTTTCACCGGACCTCATTGGTGGTCTCGAGGATGACATGCTGACGGATATTGCGGGTGAGAATTTCTCCACAGCAAGCCGTCGAAATGACTTGATTTCCAAAGCTGCGCGGTTCCGAGAGGCATTGGACATTGCGAAACGCGCTGTGTTATGATTCTAGGAATTTGAATGATTTCCGGTGGTGACTGAGATATGGAGAGCCTCAAAGCACTAGGTGCTCCTAACAATAGCTCGACCGATTCAACATCGTTGAGTGAGGTACTTTTGTGCCACATTCTTCTGGGCATGGGTTTTTCCCAATGGGTTTTCCTATCCCCTAGCGCGAATGCGAGGAGAAGCTTTTTTTATTTCATTTTTGTGACCCCTTCATTATATTATCGCTTGCTTTCGTTTTCCATGTTTATTTCTGTTTTCTTTTTTACCACCTTAATGAAGTTGACTTTGACGTTCATAGATTTTCATGGTTCGGGAATTTGTAATTTTATTGCGGCCTGCAAGAAGTAAGGTGTCTCAGTTTCGTGAGATATGCAGCTCTCTTCAGGTATTCCGCCATATGATGCTTTTCTTTTGTGGATATGCAACAAATTGCTGACATCTTGATATTTGACTGAAAAAGCATGTGCTCTTCCGGCCTTGATCAGGAATAGTTAAATAGCCTGGATCGACCTCCAACAAAGAGTCTACATTTTGTCTTGCCAACAGATACGTGCCTTTTCGAACCAATCTACCATACATCTTGGGAAATCATTCTTGTGACCACCGAATCGCCACAATGGGGAGAATTCTCAACGCCTTTACAAGATCTCGGAAAAGACAGCAATCCAAAAAGTTCACACTCAATCACGTACCATTGTGCACGCCGCAGTCGGCCCTTGACAAGAGGATTTTCTATCCCAACTGGAAGCCTCGGCCAGAGTGGAAACACCATAGAGGCCTAGACTTTGTTGGGAATCCTTGTTGGATATTTACCAGTCCAGACGATCCAGACCTTTGCCTTGACGAGATGCAACTCAAGCTGTACCGAAATCTTTCCTTCCAACCGGTTTTCGAGAATGGCCAAATTGTATACAAGCATGTTAGGGATCCTCCACTTGAAAGTATCACGAGTCCGGTTATTTTGGAGAACGCCAAACCTTATTGCGTGGGGGATTATCGGTAGTCTGCTGCTTTGAAATTAAGCCAAATGACTCACCGATAGTCGATGTCTCGCGCATAAAAAACGAAGTTGTGAGGGCGGGCAGCATGGACCAGAGCTTCAGTGTGTCTGACTTGAATTGAAGATTGTATCGTGATTAAGTTACTCTGATTATTGGGAGATTTCCCTTGAACAGGCAGTCACAATTTACACAATGGTACTGCTGACACTAATAGCACTCAATATAAAGACTAAAGTTAGGGGCCAGTGTTGAATTTAAGACAACGATTATATTTGCTCGAGTATAGATTAAAGAGTCTCCAATTTCTGCGTACAGTCTGCCACGCGGCGGGGTGTACATCCGGCGTTGATGCCATCCTCAAAGCCACCGTATACTGGAGTTTAGCGCCCATGTCCGCTCAGCCGTGCGTTCTCGGCCTGCTAATGGTATATGCTATGAAGTACCTGAGCATAGGTTGTGCGTCAATCGCCATTTGCCTGCGATGGCTTTGTCGTGTATCATTCATCCAAAATGTGGCGGGCCTTCTCCACTTAGAACTTCGGGGGTGAGCCAGAAATCCCAGTCAACAGCGTCTTCTTTCTCGGCTTGCAGACAGTCGGTTTTGCAGATCGCCTGCGTCTTTACTGGAGCTTCTGGGGGGACATGGACGTTCTGTGCAGCAAACGAATGTTTGAGAGAAACAGCTGCAAGAGATTTTGTCAGTAGGGCTGGCTCTTGGCTTCCACTGATAGACTTACCTGGTAGCTTGCTTCGGTCCATTTCTGGCACAAACGGTGATGCTTGACCAGGCATGAAGGTCTTGCGGGTTAAGAGAGAGAAATGACTGGAGAATCTTGCTCGAGCGCTTATTCAGAAAAAATGGTGGAGTCGGTAGTGTAGGTAAAGTCTAAACAAGATGGGGGCAACGATTTCGCGGTCAACAAGTCATCAAACCCGGCAGTTCGTCATTCAATATAGCGCATTTGTGAGTTTCAAGAAATTGGGCCACCAGGCTTTCGAGCCTCGGCTGCATGTCCATTGAATAGATGGTTTCATCAACTCTGATCGATATTCAACTAGATCAGACGGTGCTTTAAAAATGGTCGCGTAGGGATGAGACCGATTGATAGAGCATCCCATTTCGTACCATGTTCAACGCTGCTCCTCATCTAGCACTGAAATCCTTGGGTCGTAACTCATTTGAATACAATTCAAGCCAAATGACGCTTTCGCTTTCTTGATCGACCGTGCTTGCGCAGCAGATTGACTACTCTCGAATGCTGCCCGTGTTCTGCCCACCAGAGTGGGGTTCGTCCTTGATCATCAATCAAGTTCAGGTTGATATCAGGATGCCCCAACAAGGTTTCGGTCATGGTGACATGTCCATTAGCGGCAGCAAAGAAGATGGCTGTCCATTGTTGGTGACCACGGGCGTTGATATCAACCATGTTTCTTTGACGGAGTAGCAGAGATACAACGGATAGATGGTTGGAATACACAGCTACTTGGAGCGGCGTGGTTCCAGTAGGGCCTCTTTGATTAGGCTGGACTGACCTCAGACGAAGGAGTGCCTTCACTGCGGGAGAGTTGCCTGCGCGGCATGCAGACCAGAGCGGAGGCACGATGTGTGTAGACTGAGAGTTGATGCATATCTGCCGCTGTTGCAATAGCAATTCAAGGACGGACAGAACAGGCCTCTCGGCAGCTCGGGCTAATGGCGTCACCCCATATCGATCAGGATCGTTCAATCTCAAATCGCTTTGACGTAGAAGTGATTTCACCAGGTCATAGTGGCCACGGTTGACTGCGTGCCATAAAGCCGTTTGTTCGTTGATGTCCGATATGTTCACATCTAATTTCGAATGCGAGAGAAGAGAGTCGACCATGAGAACAGATTGCAGGTCACTGAGCCTTTTCACAGCTAACAGGAGAGGGGCGTCATGCTGGGAGCTCTGATGGTTGATATCGATTGCTGCATGTCGCAACAGCATCTGGGCTGCTACATGATCTCCTTCGAGAACCGCAGCTTGCAGTGGCGTCCAGCCGAGAGAATCTGCGAGATTGACATCCACTCGAGAATCAGCAAGTAGAAGTTGGAGGGCAAAGTACTCGCGATGCTTCAGCGCGTATACTAAGGCAGACAGCCCATCCGAGCATCGATCGTTGACATCAATCTCTTGACACTGGAGAATCCGCTCCACGCTAGCAGTATTTCCGCCGATCACTGCAAGTGACAGAGGCCCTCGACCTCCAAAGTCGCAGCAATAGCGCACGTCGGGCCGATATTGCAAGATCAGATCCACGGCCTGTGGATAGCGCAGGCCAATAGCGAGAAGAAGCGCAGTCTTGCCAGCGTACAGACAATCGATATCGACGTGGTACTCGTGAAGGAGCAGCGCTGCAATGTCCAGTCTCTGGGCCTCCACGGCACGAAAAAGCAGTGGGACTTCATCACACACAATGCGTCGGAAGAGCACATCGGTGAAAAGCGAATAAAAACGTTGGCAGACCAGGCGTAGCGCTAGAATGTCTTTTTTTTGTAGAGACTCGCAAATCCCGAGCAGGAGCTCTATTGGAAGTTCGGAAAGCATGAGAGTGTAGTGATGTCCTACTGGATATGTTGGGAAAATGAAAACAGGGGACCGCGGATGTTCTCACCAGTGGTCTCACAACGCGAGATGTGCTTCCCTCTTATGTGCACATTTTAGCCTGGCATACTCCTATTCCGGTAAGGCTCAGATCCGCGACTTGATTCGCTCAGGCCAGAAATGCTAAAGTGCATGTCGCGTGATGCCCTACTTGGATCCCCGAATCAACGACGACGGTTCCAGAACACAACTGAGGAGCCCCAGGAGCGATCTAGCTCCTAGGCCCACTGGTAACGTTCCCAATGCCAGTACACTCATTCGCAGGATCACTGATCAAGGTCCCAGGATTAGTTATCGCTTGCTCCGTGCGGGCCATGTGACGGATCGTGGAGCGTTCAGGTTTGACCACTACGCTAGCTGGCCAAAGGGCACATCATCTGGTCAGCATGAAAACGCCCGAGGTACTGCAAATACTGAATACCTGACAGACAAAAGGCCTGCACGTAGAACCAAGATGCTTGTTCCTAAAGTACCTGACCAAGATCCCCAAAAGCAAAGTTCCCGCCCTGAGATCAAGCACAACTACTCCAGGACATGGTTCAAGAGCCCCAGGAGCAGACTAGCTCCCAGAGCCATTGGCTGCATTCCCATTTTCGCTTCAGTCATCCGTAGGATCACTGATTGGGATCCCAGGGCCGATTTTCATCAACTCGCTTGAGCTAGAACTTTGCACGTGAGATCAAGTCCCGCCCCAGGAACACTTCACCTAGATCCCCGAAAGCGAATTATTACCCTGGGATCATAGGTGCGCGTTTTCGGAGCGCTGCAGCTCCCAGGACCGGTCAATATGGTCCTATACTCGACTTTGGGGAAACTAGGATAGGTCTCCAGGGGCCTGGGACTAGCTTCCGAGTGTTTTCCAAATCATCTTCAGTTACGCGCTAGGCCGTACTTTCTCGTCAATTTTGTCTTGTCGCTCCAAATTATAAATATATGGTCTTTTCTTTATTTTCCGATCTCAAAACTCACTACTGCAACAAGTGTGGAAGCTGAAATGATTACCAAAACCTATGATAATGTGGAACTGCCTCCGCTGGACCTGGCCGTGGAGAAATCTATACGCTTTGGCTGCGTAAGTCGTCCAAGCCAATTTTCGCGAACATCATCTTATCTATGCCTCTAGGCGTTCTTTCCTTGGTGTGATACTAAGCTCGACGAAAATTCATACGGGGATCAATGGACCGACTTGGAGACAGGGGATTTGCAGAAACTCCCTTTGGCATTCGTCATGCCTGACCAATCCCATCAATGGCTGCTGGAGGTAGGGGTGACCATACACTATCAAATTGCCCTCACCCAGCATCAGGTGGCCATGAGCCTCTCTGGACCGCCCTCCTTCTTGATCTGTCCCATATTTGAAATTGCCTGTGCTGGCGAGGTTTTGTCGCAGCCTCCAATATACCTGCAGCCACCTCTTCATTCCAACACGGACATGAAATAAGAATCCGCAATGGCTTAGGGTTGCTGGGGATTCAAACAGCTCGATTCTCTATGTGGGGGAGACCAAGTACTTCAGAAAGCTTGTGAATGCACCTGGGAGATATTTGCGTTCCTAGCGCTTTTTGCATTCAGATTTGTTCTATTTATTCTGTCTTGTCATAATGCATTCAAAATGACTCTGGTTGTCGATCGCCATATCTGTACCAATGGATAGTGTGATAATCGCATTTCTACATTCTGTAATATCAGTCCCGAAAAGCAGCATAGACAGACATCAGGTATAGAATCGTAGTCACTGGGCGCTCCTTGACCGTTGATCTCAGTAGATCTGGAATTCCAACATCAAAGGCTCTCTGGCTAGCATTGGCCGAAGTCCGACTGATGGTCTCAATCATCGATGTGTGTTGTCCCAGGCGGGTCAAAATAAGAGCTGTAGCACCACAATCAATGCAGCATGGCTGCAGTACACTCAGTGGAAATCTTTTGAGTGGGCGATGGCTTAGACCCTGAAGATTCGATCATCAACAAGTGAAGCGACTTACTCAGAACACAGCATGATCGCCGGCCTCTGTTTTGAATCAACAGCCAATCATGAAGTGCAGATGATGGTGATAAAGGTGCATGCTGTCGCAGTCGAGCGATGATCGCTGCCCATCGTGTTCAACTGTTGAAAATAAGGTCGTTGAGACAAGGTTGATCGTTGATCAACGCTCTTCAGACACAATAATAATAAATTAAAACATTAAAGAAAAAAAAAAAAACATTTCAAAAATTTATTATTATTTTAAAATTCCAGAAATTGACTTGAAGGCATGATTCACTCTGACCATGACCATTCACTTTTCGTCTGCCTGTTGACTTTTGCATAGCCCGTCACCTCAAGTAAGTCGAACCTCAAGTAAGTCGAAGTTCAACAGGCCTGACTTTGCACAGGCAACTTCGATGCACCCGAAAACAATGCCCCCTAGAAATTGATAGACAGGAAAAACTTCACCGCGGCAATACAAAGCGGGCGGTAACAAGACCAGTCAAGAGACCTATAAATATGGCCTCCTTCCCTGGTTCTCTGTCGAAATAATTATCTTCCTTACTGCATCTGAAGGGTTCCCTCGAGCTAGAACCAAGGTGCCTTCCTGCAGCAGACTCATGATCCCATCCTCTTTGAACCCAAGCTCTTGCTCTTACTGACGCCCACGGTGCACACTTAAGCCACCAAGTCACCTGCCTCTCTCTACCCACCGGTGGTTCACTCCGCTGTGCCCGTCTTCGTGCCTGTGGGCCAGAGCTTGAGCGTTGACTGGCGAAAATTCTTTGGTGAGTGCTGTATTCATGTGCCTTGTCGAGTGGAGCTAACAATGTGACTTCTGACTAGCTTCTTGATCACAAGATTGCAAGTGAGGCATCCTGCAGGTAAGTCCCTTGTCAACCCCATGCCCGTCGGCCAGTGCTGAAATTCCGAATGGTACGACCAGCCGGGTTTGTTAGATACGACGGCCCCAAGTCAGGACTCCGAGTGTATACATCTACCTGCCAGTCGCACCGATAAAGAAATTGCCATGAGACCACGCTTTTCATGTAAGTGATGAGCTTGTACTTGGGTTCCACTAGTGACATGTGCTTGTCAAACAATGATCTCAGCGAGATCATCAGCGATACCATCAGCCAGACCTCCGAGTATTGAACACCGTCATCCTCGAGCCCTTCCGATGCACATGTCGCCGATATCCTCGATGGTTCGATGTTCTGATAGTGTCTCAAGCATGGCTACTTGTGCACGCCATCGCGGCCACAGGTCTCGCGCGGCTGGACATCCGTTGGATAGATACGTCTGCTCGGTGCTTCTACCCTATCACCACCCATTGATCGTCAGCCATGATCTTGGCTGGAGGGCAGACGGACCAAACCGACCTCATGGAGCTGCAAGACAGAAGAGGCGTTGGGTCAATTTGGAGTTGAGACTTGTCTCCGCAGGACGACTTTTTTATTGTCTTGGCAGTGTCGTCCGTCGTAGGTGCAGGATAAGACTAGATAAAAAAGACCGTGAGTGAACCCTCATAATCAGACACATGCTAACCATCTTGCAACGCCACTAGTCAAGACGCTGCGAGAGATGACGTACAATTTAACGAGCCTCGCACGCGTCCTGCACCGTCGCTCCCTTTTCCATGAAGCGATGTATCTCGCTTTGAAAGCCGTTTCGAAGTGCGAAAGTCGACGTGAATGGAGGTTGCCCGATCGCTCTGCTCTTTCGCCTTACCAACTGATGTCGACCGAGAACACCAGCTTCACTCCACATCCTTGGAAAGCTGAGGCAGCCAGGCGACCAATATACCGACCAATATACCGACCAACAACACATGATGCGTGGTACATGGATGAAGCAATAGACTTGGATGTCGAGGAGCCCTTTCATGGGCGGGACCGACTTCCTCACCTGCGGAGGGTGCGAGTGAGAAGGATGCCCAAGGTCCATCCGATGGGTGGATATCTCTCGTTGTTCGGAATAAACGTCGATCGCAATGAACCAGTCCATAAAGATGGCCATGAGCATTCAGATCTGCCACAAGGGTTGTCGCTTTCTGCTATCTCCCTGCCCTTGTCAAATCTGGTGGAAGCCTTTGTCACCAGATGATGGAAAGCCATCGCTTTCGACGACAGTGATTATTTCAATGAGACATGCGGCCTTCTTGCAACAGCAGATCGCAGACATATCGTTCATCCACTTTGTGCAGAACCAGCGACGGCGCCAGCTCCCTACGGTCAGGCGATCAGTGAACGGAGCGACTCTCGCCCTCGCTTCGGAAGAGAAAGTCCTTTGCGTCACACTCGCCCAAGCGTTGCATTCCATCCTGCCTCTTACAACTGCGCGAGGCATCTCCATTGGTAGCTTGCCAGTTCCTGCCTCAACAGCGCATCGAAGATCGTTGTCCACCATGCATAACTGGGTGCTACCATTGGGCAGAAAAAAAATCGATCCCTCTTCCGTGGTGTACCAGAATCAGTTGTGGGCAGATTGCCAGATACAGCGCTCGTCATCGCCGCGAGAGGGATGGGAGCGACATGCGTCTGCGAGCCCGCAAATTGAGTATTGCATCATTTGCGGAAGGGCCCCTTCTGTCTTTACAGGCCCCTGATGCCCAAGATAAGTTCCCCGCGTTGATATGTGTGCGAACCACTCCTTGACACGAACACTGCATGCCCTAAACGGTAAAGGTACCCAACTCCGGTACGCCGTTGATGTTTCGCCATCAGTTCGTGTCTACCAGCCATATTCACGGTCACAAGCATACACCACGTTACAACATCCCGTACGTATGAAGTTCGTGAGAGCCATGCCGACCTGAGCTGACCGAACTCCACCTCTCTCAGTTTCTTTCACTATGACAACACGAACGATTCTTCTCGTGCAGCTATGTTCCAGCCAGCTCAATATCATTGAAGACTGCGCTAAACACCGAATTTGCGACCAGCCCAATTCATACTCGACCACCTCAGGTCAATAC